CTATTCGTGTTTCGTTCGCCTGACTCTGAAACTACTCCTGCATGACAGTATCTTATGACTTATGCCCCTCTCTTTGTGTCTCGCTGCAGATGTAGAGAGTGTAATGAACAGCATTGTGTCTCTGCTGTTGATCCTGGAGACGGAGAAGCAGGAGGCTCTCATTGAAAGTCTATGTGAGAAACTTTTGAAGTTTCGTGAAGGAGAGAGACCCTCCCTCAGGATGCAGCTGTAGGTCCTTTGTTTTGTTTGTCTTAAATCTATTTATAGTGCTGACTCTTATCATTGTTGTTTCCTGACTGAGCTGACTGACATGTTTACTCTGACTGAGTAAACATGTCCTATGCATGGAGGCTAAGTCGGGCATTGTTTTGATGTTGGTTAATATGAAACCGCTGGTCTTGCAAGCTTGACATAAGGATGCTATTTCCAACATCAACAGGCAGGAAAGCTTATTTTAAAAACAAATGGCATTTGTCGAGAAAACATGGAACAGTTAAAAATCAGTACTCTGTATAAAATACTTGACTATCTTTTTCTTATTTTGATGTTACAGGCTAAGTAACCTGTTCCATGGCATGGATGAAAACACTACAGTGAGGTACACTGTGTTCTGTGGCCTCATCAAGGTGGCTGCAACTTGTAATGCCATTGCCTTCATCCCCACTGACCTTGATCAGGTATATCTTTTCAACATGATCAACTGAGATAACTGACCATAGACTGCCTCAGCATTGCTTCATATTGTGTATTGAGCTGCAGAGATGGCGAAAAAAAGTTGTCACTCACATTTTTCAAATCTGCACAGGCTGCATTTTTCCTCTGCAGTTGATTTATGATACCTGTTTGTGCTGCTGATCAGGTGCGCAAGTGGATTATCGACTGGAACCTGACCATAGAGAAGAAGCACACACTCTTGAGGCTGGTGTATGAAGCATTGGTTGACTGCAAAAAAGGGTAACTACACATAGGGTCAGATGGGTTAATTCATGTTTTTGTATGCACAGGTGCAATAATGTGAACGCATAGAATTTAAGATTTATGAACTCCTGCATGGAGAAAATAGTACACATTTGTCTAAAGCATATACATATCTCTAGGCCTAAGACTCTGTGTGAGATAGTGTGCTGTCCTTGGTACAAGAGAGTCTTTAACAATGTTCTTATCTACTCGTGTCACAGCGATGCTGCAGCAAAGGTGATGATTGAGCTGCTGGGAAGTTACACAGAAGACAATGCTTCACAAGCACGTGTTGATGCCCACAGGTAAACTTGAAGACCTCGTTTAACATTTGTCATTAACCCTTGATATAACGTACATCTCAAACATGCATACATCTATTGGGGTCCCTTATCTTTAGATGCATCGTCCGTGCTCTCAAAGACCCCAACACCTTCCTGATTGACCACCTGCTCACCCTGAAACCGGTTCGCTTCCTGGAGGGAGAACTCATCCATGACGTGAGTACTGAAGGATCTGCAATGTTCAAAAAGAATAAGTTCCCTCATTGCGACAACCCTGTCAATCTCGTATGTGCATAATGCCCGTTTAGGTCGTGTGATTAGAATTATAACGCAAACTGGGTTTGTGTACATGGACATAAGTATCTCCGTTATGAGGCTTGTCTTGGGTTTGATCATACGTCATATGATGTTTAACATCCCAGCCAGCCTGGACCCTCACCAGTTTGCATACAGAGCCAACAGATCCCGTCTCCACTGCTCTCCACTCAGCTCTCACTCATCTGGAAAATAACAACAACTACATCAGAATGTTTGTTGATTTCAGATCAGCCTTCAACCTAATCTCCCCCATGAAACTGATTGATAAATGTATCACTCTGGGCTGGTTGTTAGACTTCCTCACAAACAGACCACAGGTGGTTCAAATCGGCAGCCACACATCCTCCACTTAGTGTTGAACATCGGACAACCCTAGAGCTGTGTGCTCAGCCCCCTCCTGTTCACGTTGTGCACCCACGACTGCTACCCCCAAACATGAAGAGAACTGTGTTGTGAAGTCTGCAGGCGACACTACCGTCATCGGACGGATTACAAACAACAATGAGACTTCATATAGAGAGGAAATCAACAACGTTGCAGAGTGGTGCTCAGAGAAACAACCTACTGCTCGATGTAAAACCAAGGAGCTGATTGTTGATTTTTTGCCCCCGTCTATAACAATGGAGCTGAGGTGGAGCAAGTTAGCAGTTCCTGGGAATCAGCATGGACAACCTGACATGGTCCTCACACATCTCCATCCTGGTTAAGAAAGCTCATAAACGACTATTTCTTAAGTAAACTTAAGAAGGCAAAATTCCCGGACAGAAGGGCTCTACAGCGTGGGGTTAAAACCACAAAGATCATCATTGGTGCCTATTGGTATCTACTGAGCATAAGTGGTATTGGTGGGAAGAGGAGCCTGCAAAGAGCTAACGGGATATTAAAAGACAAAACCCACCTCAGCCATTTATTAAAACGGGATAATCGTTTCCATGTAAACACACAATGTGAAAGCCTCTCGACTGTCTTTTACATCTCAGTGACATATAAGGCATCACAACCCAACATTTAAATGCTGACCAGTTATAAAAGTAGAATGTGAGCAGCAGGAATGTTCGTACATTACCAGCTCAACAGGTTGAGACAATGAAAAATATTCCTAATAGGGCGTGAACTCGGATTTCTGTTTTTTTTTCATAAGTCAACATCCTGGCATTTCCACGGGTATTAATAGTTTAGCCCGATGTTCATCAAGCACAACGTTTCTGCATTTGAGCCAGTGATTTGTATCATAACCTTAATCTGGACATGGTCATTACAGATTCAGCCTGTATGAATACAAAGATGATGTGACTGTTTCCAGAGTCTTTTAAAGGCATTTCTCCCTCTTCTGACTCCATTTTCAGCTATTGACCATCTTTGTGAGCGGAAAACTAGCAGCATACGTAAAGTTTTACCAGAGTAACAAAGACTTCATTGACTCTCTTGGTAAGTAACCATACGTTGAGATATTAGTTGCATCAATTCTACACAAGCTTATGCACTGACTAATGTTTAAAAATACAGTAAAATTATTTTAAAAACTGGGGATAATGTACATGTGATGCAATGGTCTGACTACCCTACAAACTAGTGGTTTTTGAGTGATGAAATGTCTCTGCTATTTACCATATTTGTAAATCAGTATTGACATATTCTACCATAAGCGTATTATAACTAAAGAAACCTCTTTCGTAATCTAATGCTGCCACTCTGAGTATCAAGGGATTACCATCTTTTAAGTAGTTTGGAGAATTTCTCTCTTTAGGAAGTAGTGTTTCAACAGTTTCCCGCTGTAAGGACATCCATATTATGATTTATACTGCTGTTGCTATGATGGCAAAAAAAAAGTCGATCTTTAAGAAGGACAATACTCTTCAAATTTGAATATGACAAATGTGAAGTTACATTTAACGACCATCTGAAACACCTTTTCCTATAATCCACTCTTCTAGATATTGAGCCTTGTGCTGCGCTCTGTTGACACAGTCCAGGAATGTGTGTGTGTCAGCAGTGTGTCTCTTTCTCTCTACTAAAGGCTTGGGTGTAATTACAAGCATGTGTAGGATGGACTGTCAAAACAGACAATGTGGAGTGGTGTTTGTGTTAATGAGTAGATGCACTGACTGCGTGCTCCTAAATGTAGAAACGATTATCACAGGGAAACTCCCCGAGTCCAGAGTAATCGACTGTGACTGTTTTGTGCTTAATGATCCCTGCGTGTTGCTCTCCAGGCCTGTCTCACGAGCAAAACATGTCCAAGATGCGTCTGCTGACATTCATGGGCATGGCTGTGGAATTCAAGGAGATCTCCTTCGACACCATGCAGCAGGAGCTGCAGGTTGGAGCTGATGACGTCGAGGCTTTTGTCATTGACGGTACGAGCACTTCACCTCAAATCAATCCTCGCTGTCTACCACTGTAATGTGTGCTGTTAGTTTCTCACAGGTGACTAATGGGGGAGGGTAAGGGGGTAGTGACTGAACAGCGGTGACAAATGGACACACGCTTGTACTCTTCTACCAAAAAAAAAAAAAAAGATGTCCCGCTCTTTAAAGAAAGAATGCAGTGGTGATAATGTTTTACAATGGAACAATGGCATAGAACCAAGAATAGCACTTTCAGTGTTTAGTGACTAGGATTAGCTTCCTCTCCAATTTCATCTTTCAAGTGCATTCCCTATTAAAGTTTTTTTTATTGCTTTCTGTCAGAGCTTTTGCTGCCTCTTTATTCCTTTCCTGTCTGCTTTTTCATTCTAGCTGTTCGGACTAAGATGGTGTACTGCAAAATTGACCAGACACAGCGAAAAGTTGTTGTGAGGTAAGTACTTCAATCAGACAACATCATACATGGCTTAACAAATATCTGCATTAGAGGGGCAGTTATAGCAAATGTTGGCTTGGTACCAAACAAGACCTAATGTACTTTACCTGGATGATCAGAAAACATGGTCCTATACTGATGGTGCCACCTTCTGTGCAGTGTTCGTGAGAGGGTTAGTTTAATATAGCTCTGTGTTTTATTTCCTCATAGTTGTGAGACGTGACCTTGGCCTGTATTTTTTGTTTTGTTTTTTCTTTGTCAATTTAACATTCTTGCTTTTTTCTGTTTTCCACTCAATCAGCCACAGCACACACCGCACCTTTGGCAAGCAGCAGTGGCAGCAGCTGCACGACAGCCTCAGCTCCTGGAAGGCCAACCTAGCAGCCGTCAAGACCAGTCTGCAAGCCCTGTCACCTTCTGCCTAATTCCACCCTAACCCACCTGTCTAGACTGCCTGGCCCTCTATTCTTTTCTGCTTTCCAAATCCCCCAGACTGAATTGATCAGTTTTTATATGAATCCAATAAAAGAACAGTAGACATCACCTGTGCTCCTTTCTTGTTAAATATTTAAAGATAGCTAAAGTTCTTTTCAAGTTAAATAATGCCATAAACGGACAAGGAACTGGAAATTGATAAATTTCAAATTTTGTGCAACAGTAAAAAGCTTCACTTGTGCCCTTAATGGATAATTCATATATTCAGACAACGACCCCACTAGCTGCCTTATGATCTTTTCAGAAAGCCATACAGTGACTTTAATGGGGGCTTGTCCTCTAGCGGTTCTCAACATCTGGTTGTACTTAAAGGACGCCATGTTGGTATTAGATGAGCTGTAACTTTGGGTGAGAAATAACCTGCAACAAGAGGGTCACTTGTCTGGGAACACGAGCGGAGACAACAGTAATGTGAACTTTTAAGATGACCAGGTCTGCTGGGGTCAGAGCTGTATTACTGTCGCATCAACACTTAAAGCTTGTGGCGTAGGCTGATTCACTGCCACTACAAATGTGAAACTGTCCACCGGGTTAAATGACACTGTTTAGCTGGAGTCTGCATGACTCACTGTCTTTTGAGGTCTATGGAAAGTGGAAAGACGAGGACTTCTACAGTTTTTAGTTTACCTTTCCTTTGCCCGTTGATGTAAAGTTAAGTACCATTTATCCCGCACAGTGATCTATTCTCGGGCACCGGTCCAGAGCATTAGGATGTGGACTCTATTGATATATGGCCCAGGCATTAGGTGTAAAAGGGGTCTGCTGGAGTTCTCTCCCTCTGGGGCTGTGATGAAATCAGCAAAAACTGACACAGTGCAGACTACTGACATTGCACTCTTTAAATCCCCACCCCAAATAGACGGTGAATCTTCTTTGAGTAATAAAACCACAGCTCAGCTTGTTTACTTTGTTTTTTAGTGGTCTGCCACTCCTCATTCTGTCCTGATTAAAGTCGTAATCTGATCATTTCAGCCAGTTCACTAAAATATTTTCACTGCGATGAAATGGGCATTAGAGGTACACATTTATTGCTGCAAAGTATCCTTTTTCCTATCAGAAGTCTGCAGAGACTCACCGCTCACTTGTGTTCGGTTGTCCACAGGGAGCAAGCATCTCTGACGCTTATCAACGGGTGTAAATCACAGAACACATTCTCAGAAGCGTAACCTCATCACAGCCACCTGCAAGGTAGAGCAGATAGAAACGAATGTGACACAATGTTTGTGAAGCCCCATATCTAGGTTTCCATTGCTCAGCATATGCTCTTTTTCTCTGCAAGTTATTGCTTCGCAGCTACTTTTCTCATCCTGTAAAAGGCATCTTGCTCTCTCTCTTCTTGTCTCTAATTTGTTTCACTGGCTTTAAGTAACTGTTTTGTGGATGTTCCGTCATGTGAGATGTCCCAGATGTAAAGACTGTGCTGTGGTTGGTTTATCTGGTGCAAGCCCCATGACCCCTTCTTATCATAGTCGGATAGAAGTAGTTCTGCACAGTTCAGTGATAAAAAGCAAATGAGTTGATATTACATTTGGAAGCTGAGCTGCTTCACTGGACTTTTTTTTTTTGCACATGCAGCTCACGTTCTCAGCAGGGAAGTAACTATACTACATTTACTCCAGTACTGTACTTATTTATATTTAACCGCTATAGATAAGTTACTTTTAAGATTACAAATTAATTGATCTAATTGGGGCCCCTCGTCACGTTTTAGATGTCTATAGCAGTTCCACCAAATATTTCCTCTCTGCTTTTTTAGATGGTTTCATTTAAATAACTGTAACCAAGGATTTAAACATTGAAAATTTCACACACAAAAAATAACAAAGATTAGAGAACTGCAGAACTTATTTTTGTTCTTTCTTCCAAAAATAATCATGTCATGACCCCTCAAATTTATTTTGTGACTCAGTCTGTCCCCTTGGTTGGGCTAAAACTAGATTAAATTACCTAACTTTATATAAAGTAGTTAAAGCTACTCAACCAGCTATAACCGTACAGTAAAGGGCTTTTTCCTTCCTTCTAACAAGTACTAAGTGATGGTTTTAAATACTTGTCCACTGGTCCAATTTACTGTGTTTTAGCACAAACGTTGCTGTGTGAGCTGATGTAGAACCACATGGATTCCCCGGCATTAAGACACTATTAGTAATTAAAACATTAATATATTGATATTGATATACATATGTGGTGTAAAGTGACTTCTGACATCATCACAGACTAGATAGTCTGGAACATCTCCTTTTCCTCGCCCCTTTTCTTCATATCAACATTCCTCTGGGTAAATCTAAGACTGTGATGGTGTCCAGAGACATAGCCAAGTACAAGAGGGGGGCTCTCACTGCTCTTCAATTACCACCATCCAGTAGTCAGCCAGATAATGTTCATTTGCATCCTCTCTCTGCTTTTAATAAACACTGACCAAGAAGCCCATAGACGGATATTTGTATTTACATGGACTTTGAAACATGAACACTATTATGGAGGATGGTTTGTCCAGGCAGAATGGGAAACTTTATCTTCATGTGTTGCTTCATGTTTTGCTATTTGCGGTGTCTCTAAAGTTGCTATAGTCACCATTCTTTGTGGTGGAAAATGACAGACTAAGTGTATTTTAACACAGATGCCTATTACACCACATTTTCCCTTACAAGGCCTAAGAATATTTGTGTAGTCACCAGCTCTCGAGCTACTGAGAGGAGACTTTAGTGCTTTTAAAAAAGAGTCCTGATGCAAAGATCCCAAAAGATAGCATCGTGTTACAACAGTAATTTGCACCGACCCATTTAAAGTGAAGATTCAACTTTGATATTGAGACTGAATAACCCTCTAAGTGTCATTAAAGTCAGATTGCCCTTTACATCCTAATAGATCTTAGTATGGAAGATCAAGTGGTTACATGACAAAACATAAGTCATGAAACCATCATGTCAATGTCTAAAATGGGGGGGTGTCACCTACATTGAATAAGGGTAAGGACCTAATATTATAGGTACTTTATCTATTGCATGGTTTACCAGCTACTTCCACTTTCGTGGTGTCAGCTGCCATCTAGCGTCCATCTTTATTTACATAACTTATCTCTATTATCCAGGTAAACGTGATCGATTGGTTGGGTCTGCGCAGGTAGTTTAGGAGGTGCTCAGGCCACATCTGTTCGGAGTAAACAACACCATTTTTTAATCTACCGGGACTGTCTGGAGTTTTCGGGCACACCTTTTTTTTTTTTTTTAAATTTGATCTTCAAACTACATGAACCGTGTTAAAGTTTGTCGAAGGAAGTTGCTGCTCAGCTGTTGTTTGTCACTGTCGCTGAACGTTTCCTGACTAATCTTATCTGCGTCGAGGCTGTGACACGCGCACCTACCGCTCCTTTAGCTCGGTTTCATTTTGTTGGTGTTGGAACTCTTTCCATCATGATGTGACACTTCTCATCATAGGTAAAGTAGAATAGGTAAGCCCATCTGGTGCCGGTTGGTGAAAGAAGATTGTACATAATGGTAGTTTTGTAACGGCTGGATGCGTTGTTAATGGTGCTGTTCCCTCTGTACCGCCAACTCATTCCCCACCCGCTGTCCGCGCGCAGGTGCACGCACGACCATGTTGTTTCATCTGTTCATACTCCTTCAACTCCTGTCTTGTGGAGATCTGGCCTGTGTGAGGAGGTTGCTGTCGAAACACGAAGACCAAGAAGGTGAGCGATATTGTTGAAGAATGACAAATGAATCCACTTGACACACTCCGATCTGTCAGTTCTGTTAATCATTTCACCTGTTTGGACACGCGTCCTGTAGTGTTCGTGGATGAAGGGGACGCAAATTCGTTCCTGGGTCGCCATCTGTTGTTCAACCGGTTTGACTTTGAGATTTTCGTTCCTGGAAATCTGGAGAGGGAGTGTTATGAAGAAGACTGCAATTACGAAGAAGCAAGGGAGGTCTTTGAAAACACCCCAGCTACAGTTGAGTGATGCTGTTCAGTGGGCTGCTCACTGAGGATATTGAATCTGCACAAAGACACACTGGCCTCACATCAGACTTCACCATACTAATGATACTTTGTTTTGCAGATAGCTTTTTGGGGAAAATACTCTGCAGGTAAGAGATGTAAGCCTACATACCACTATGTGTTATGCAATGACTAGTTGTGTATGTTGTTAAGGAACACTTGTGCCTTGCCTGTAGCAAGTACACTTATGTCACTAGTGCTTTCCCCACTTACAAGGCTACATGATTGTTCAATGAAATGCAGTTTGTAGTCTCATTTTGCTACATAAGAAAAACAAAAATGTATATATATCATATGTGGAGGGTGGAGGATAAATTAGTACAGTAGCTTTGAAAGTTATTGCTTGGTCTGCAGTCAGTAAGTTACCCCTTCAACTCTAATTTGTTTTGCATTAGGGATGAATGAATTATGAGTAGATCTAATCACTGTGTGTCTGCTGCTGTAAAAGTTCAAACTATTCTAGACTGCTGCTCTCAAACCCCAAAAAAATCAATATTGAATGAAAAAGAGGAACCACCCTGTGATATACCTTTCATCACGTAGTACAACTCCCGCTGTCCAGTTACTCACTGTGGTCTGTGATCTACAGAAAAGGACAAACGCCACACACGGGTTGATGTGACATCTCTTCTGGTGGGACTGGTTGCTGTTGGTGTGGCCATTGTTATCAGTGGCCTTCTGCTCTGGTATTTCTGTCACGGCAAATGCAAGAGCTTCAGCCGTGCAAAGTAAGTCAAAGGGTCTTTATCACTATTAATGGCAGCTACATTGTTCCTGCACACTTTCCCCTCAGTATAGCACTAATACCCACTTTCAGTACCTCCAAGGCTATAGACACTAGTACAGCTCTGTTGTACTATAACCCCAGGGTACTTCAGCAATCTGTCAACCTGTACACTTTTATAGCACCATATATAATAAAACACCTAATATTTCAGAAGGTTTATGAATGAAATATTTTCATATGCAGACAATTTATATAATTTGCTGCTACTCTTGTCCAGTATCTATTGTTCTCACCTGTTCAGGGCTTCGACATATGTTTTCACTATCTATTAATCTGCTGATTATTTTCATGATTTATATTTTTGTCTATAAAATGGAAATAGTGGAAAGTGTTATACACACAAATTGTATCACACAAACAGCATAAAATACTCATATTTGAGTGTTTGGTATTTTTGCTTGGAAATTGATTGAAATGATTAATAAATGATCAAAATAGTAAGAAATACAATCATTTTATATGAATCAAGTAATCAATTAATACATCGATCTATACCTGTTCAAACATTATGCTTCTTGTAACACCTAGAAATAAATGTTGTTGTGCACAGTTGTATAACAAGAATAAAGTCCCTCTGTTACCTTGATACTAAATGGCATTAAGTATGGTCACATATGAATGATATGAATGTCTACACTCCTCTCAAAGCTCCGTCCAGGTGCGACCGAGGAGGAGTAATGCTTCACTAATAATGCGACGGCTAGAGGAGGCGTCCTTACAACCTGTGCTCCCACCTGCACATCCACCCCCTATTGAGGAAATAGACCCAGTGGGGTTGCCTTCTTATGAGCAGGCAATTGCAAAAAGTGGACCGTATGATGCCCCACCTCCTCCCTATCCTGGGTATTTGCATAATGCATTTTTATTTTCAGTTATGTGATAACTCACTTTTTTTTTTTATTGTACGCAATCCATAATGCAGTCACAGAGAGCTCATTCAAATATATCTTTTATAACATCTTCTCTTATTTTTGGTTTTAGCTCACGACCTGGGAGTATTCGGCGGTAGTATCTCCAGGACAACACATCTGCATGTCTGTCAACAATTGACAACTAACATTTACACTGTTCTACACTGCTTAGCATTATATACCTTTTTTTTCCTCATCACAATATTTAAAAAAACTTCTTATGCCTTTATGTTTATTGCTCTGATTATCTTGTTCCACTCATACATTTCTAATCTTTCTGGCTTGTTGGGGTACCTTTTACTAAGCAGTGTAATCCAACTTCTTAACACGCTTGTGCCAAAACATAGTAGTCGGTTGTCTGGACTAACTATTTTCCCAGGTCTAATTATGCTTTATAATATTACCATACAGCTGTGCTGAATAACCTTTATAATACAATTCAACCAGTTTGCTGCTTTTTGTCTAAATGTAAATGAAGAATCAATAATGAATTGGACATGAAGGATTTAAATTGCTGGAGTATTAAGGCGCTTAGGAGCAGTTGCTTCAGACACAGCATGCATAGACTGAGAGAAAGTATTAATTGCAAATGAAGAGAAACTGATCTGTATAATCATACAGCTTCCGGTCTCCAGAAGGAAAAATGGTAACACCCAAACTGATTTCAATGGCATGATTGTATTCTATATAATATTGCCATACAGAAAATACAAGTGTTTTTGTTTCACTGGGCTACCAGCTTGCTTTGTAAAAATTCACTTTGTAATTTAAGCTTAACATCATCTTTTATTCTTTTTTCTTTTTTTTTACGTGTGGCTTTTGTTGCTGTTTTATATAAATTCCTTTTGTGTCAGGAAATGTATGTCTGATTCACCAACTAATGAGAACACTGTTCTATGTGAAATAATGTTTCATTTCTATAAATAAATTGTGGTTGATTATTAACTGTACTATAAATAAACTGTTTTACATTTATACGGAACAATAAATGTGAGGAAAAGGACAGCTAAAACATATTTCAACAGATGGGATGTACAGTTTGTCAGGCTGGTGTTTCATTCCCATCAGATGATGCAGAAACAGGGTTAAGAAGTTATGTTCCTCCAAACTAACATTAGCAAAGTCTTATCATGACATGAGAATTAATGTAGGGGTAGCCTTGGTGAAGCTGATCTGTACCATAACTACTTGAAATGAAAATCTTTTATAGATATCTTTTTAAATAAAATTGATATTTTAATTATTTTTGTCTCATCTTTCAACTGTGTGTGAGGTTGTCTACATGTATGCAAGATGGCTCTATGGTGTATCCATTTTTATTTATTTATTTTGTGTGCATATGATCAGGTTTGATTTGAAAAATGTTCACAGTTTTGGGATTTATAGAAGAACATATATCATCAATGTACTGTTTGATGTCCTTTGACAATACCAAGAAGTTGGGCTTTTTACTGTCAAATTCAGTAAATAAAATAAAATAATTAGGATCATGCAGCTCAGAACTCAAAGATATTGTTTAAGGATGCAAAATGGTCCATGTTCCAAAATAACGGTAATACTAATTGTTATCAATAAGATAGATAGATACTTTATTCATCCTGCAAGGGGAAATTTGTTTTTTACAGCAGCAAAAAATATACCTAAGCAATAAAGTATCAAGGCTGCTGATAAAAGCACAAAGGTTATCCAAACAAAGTCTCACAGAGGGGAGTTACAACAAACTGAACAATTACTTTATAGCTTCCAAACAATGTTATTTGCCTGAACTTATTATCATTTAATTCAAATTATCTGGGGATATTTCACTATAATGTCAAACTAATCGCTTCATATGTGGATTTGGGGTTTCTATGACGCTGTAGAAAAAGCTTTTGGTATCTCAAATGATCTCAAAGAAAGACTAAGAGCTGACCTTTGGGATGGAGGTAAGAGAAAAAGGGGAAACTACAAAACTTCCAGCCAAAGTCTGCGGTGCATCCTGGGAAATTAACTAACATTGGTACGTTGAAACCATGCAAGGCTTGCACGGCTCCCCATGACGGGAGACCAACAAAACATATCGAAATCACTCAGAAGGCTAAAGGTACACTCTTATCCAGGATACCTCACGACTTCACGGCGGCTTTGCGGACCGTGCAGCGCTCTGACGGGACTGCGTGCCCCTGGTCGCTCGGTGGGTTGGATCCCGGAGCTGCTACGATGCGTGTCCGCTGCTCCACGAAGCTCCGTCGGGGACGTGAATCTTTCACCGGATGATGGACAGGAACTACCCGACCTCCAGCTTTGCGGACGCGCTGGCTCCACCAGCACAGACCGTAGCTTCTTGGGCCTATGACCGCAACACGGCTAGTGTCAAGCCAAGGTAAAGAGATAAAGGAGAGGGCACCTTCCGAAGGAAATGTCGGTGATGGAAGGCCTAGCTTTGCTGTTGGAGAATAGTGCAAAGGTCCATGTTGTTATCGGGAAACAGTGGAGGAATTGGAGAAATGTCGGAATTTGCTCGGAGTTGTAAAAGCTTTGACTTGTCAGCGGCTCATTTGCCGTGTGTTACAGTCACGCACCTTGCTAGTTTTCGCTAGCACACCGTCTCCCCAGCATGGCCATAAACAGAGTTTGCACTGACTAGAGAAGGGAGTAGTTTTATATATGTAATAACCTGACCTGCTAGACGGCTTAAATGAGCATTTAACGGTCTGTTTTCTTGACCCACAGGTGCTCGTCAAAGCCAAAACAAGATGGGTAACTAGCTACCGATGCTAGTCATGTCAGTTATGCCACCTCAAATTAGTGGCACATAGCTAATGTTATTGGTGTTACCTAAGCGCGAAGAGGCGACGTGTCCACGCCTCTGTGTCACTGCTTTAGTTACTAGTTAGAGGTCCGTTGATATATTTTACATTATTTTAACTTTCTTTATATTTAGTAAAATAGACAGAGTGAGTGTGACCAAAGTTTTAGAGCTCTAACTTAGTCCAACTCGAGACTGTTGTATTATGATCTTCTCCATGTTGTAATTATAACAATGAATCACACTTAATGACAAAATTGTAATAATAACTTATAATACATCTAACCCTCCCCAAAGCATATAGAGAAGGGCCAGAGCAGATGGAGTTAGATGAGGCACTACATTAGACTACTGAAATGATAACCTAATCGATTTGTTGAATAAGGAATACATTGTTATGATTGGAAGCAATTGTGTTTTATTTTATAAGGTACACTTGCAAAATCAAATTAAATTCAATCGACAGCTCACCCATACATTTCACCTTTACAAAGATAGTGGGCTGATGTTTATTGAAGTTTCAGTTTGCAGTGGTTTTGTCCTGGACTGCATTATAGTGAGAAGTGATTCAAATGCTTCGCCCTTTACAAACATGAGGGGGGGGTATTCAAAACACATTTCAGTATAATGCAGTCCAGTACAACACGATCACTAACTGTGACCTAAGTAAGAAACGCACTGTTTTAATTTACACCCCTTTGACCGTCTCAACCAAAACTGAACGTTATAATCTTCAGAAATGTGGAATATGTGGCGGATCTGTTTTATTGGATTGCATTAGCTGAGCTATGTCTTACTTTATAGTTAAATAGCAAAGACGTGTTGCATAACAGAAGATGCCAGTGATGAGAAAAAGAGGCTGATGACTCCCTTTCTTAGCTCTGTGTCCTTCCACAGATGATTACCTTCCGGCAAAAAGGAAACGCTTCTGATTAAGCTGGCTGCAAATGATTTCCTCTTGATTTTATATCCGTTTCCTTTGAATTTTCTGCAGAGAAAATATAAAGTCATGTGTCAGATATTACACTTCTTTTTCCCCCCGATTTGTCTCAGTTCCTCACACCAAGAAGAGCAATCAATGTTTACGTTTGGACGTAAACAACAGTGACCAGTGGATTCTACAATCCACAAACCACTGAACATGTGCTATGTTTTGTATGAATAACTTACCTTTTATGACTGACTACTTTCTGTGAAAAACGGATAGCAGCGTGTATTCATCACATTTTATAAAGCATGTTTCGTAGAGCTATCGTTGCGTTTTCTAGAGGGTGTTTGTCACCCAGTAGACAGCCAAGACTTTACAGAAGGAGTTCTTGAAAACAAACTGAGTTGGGTGCTTCATTGCTGCTTGTGAAGATGAGCGCTTTCATGTACATGTTTGTGTGTCGATACAGTCCCAGCTATGGTGCAGCACACCTGGATGCAGAGCTCCTCCAGCGGCAAAGCTACACTAACACCCACCAGCTCCCCACCTACACTACATCGCACATTCCTGCGACAGCAGGTGAGTTATGAATTATTGTTTGATGCATGTGCCACCAATCAGAATGGTGACTGTAAAGGATGTTTCATTTGTGGTACTCAAAACACTGAAATACTTCATTTTAAAAACTCAACAGTGAGCTGCATGGATAATACACAAGCATCGCTGCAGACAGTTTATAGTTATTACTAGAAACTACTTCCATTTCATTATAAATCGTTTTATACACATATATTGGCTTGGTCGATATATCTGGCAAATTTTGTAGATATCGCAAGAGGCAAGTGAGAGATGGGTTTATTCTTTTTGCAATTTTGGTGAAGTAACCCTTTTATGGCTCTTATTTACTTGGCACATAGGATTGTGATGACTTTGTTGCCCGTTTCTTTTCCTTTCTTTACTTTCAGGAACACTTGACTCGAGCAGTAATTCTTCTGAGACCTCAATCATGAGCTTCCTGTCAGCCATGGAATCTAGAAGCCTTCAGGCTGGTCCTGTTAGTGCCTCACTGCTTCCTCCTTTTAGACCCCCTTCATGGCCTGCCGGTGAGAACATGTCCACTAATTATGTGTTATTTTCACGCTACTTACCGCCTATTGTAGTATAGACGTTTTTACTATGCATGTAGGCTTCTTATCTTTTTTTAACATCATCTGGAACCGGTACTGATTTTAAATGTGCCACAGAGTAGTGAATACATGAGGTATTTTGTCGAGAAAGCTACGTATGATGATGACATATGATGTTTGTGTATTTGTGAGAAACATATTTACTGATACAGCTTATCCAGGAGTCTAATAATCTACAATCATAAGCCCAGAATACTATTGTGTACTAGACCAGATCATTTTACATTACCCCATATAATATATATAATTTTTTTAGAGATTAAAATAACAACGAAAATGACCTATTTCCACAAGTTTTATCTAATGTTAGGTTTAATTTATCCCTTCATGTTGCCGGTCTGGTCCTTATTTTGTCTATGTTGTGCAATGCAGGTACCAACTCTACCACAGAGCTGTATTTGACTGGTGCCCTGCCTTCTACTGCCACTTTCCCCTCCCCTGCTGCTCTGTCCTCCTATCAGCACGCTGGTGCCTACCCTTCCCGGAGTTATGCCACCAACCCATCCTTGGCTCTCCAGGATCCTGCCTTCAGCACTTCCACCAATGGCCTGTTCTCCCACCACGACCCGCTCATCCATCTCAAATCAGGCCAGACTGTGCTTCCCACGGCACTGGCCTTCAATCATCTCTCCAGCCCGGCTTTGGGTTCTTCTCTGCCTGTCCAGTCCTCGACCTACCGATCCGCTCAGGAGTCAGCCCCCCACCTCCTACAACCCCAGTTCAGCCTGCTCCCCTCTGCCCTGCCCGCCCCTCACGGTGCCCAACAACCCTACGGGGCCGCGGTTTTCTCCGGCTCTATTGAAAGAGCTCTTCAGCGTGAATGTAGTGTGATCAAACACCACCAGAGGCCTTCCAGCAGCCACGCGGCCTCCGAGCAATTGTCCAATTCAGAGCACCCTTTACAAGGGTACTTTGGCTCTGGCAGTGAAGCGGACGTGTCCTACCAGCAGGACCCGTCCCGTCAGACCCCCGTGTCCTGCAGCCCTTCCACAGGAGCCGATTCCAACCAAGGGGTCAATCGGGCGCCACAACCCAAAACGGACTCGGTAACTCAAGCGTATTCGTCCACTTCTGTGCCGAAGGCTAAAGACTGCTCTTCCAAGCTAGCCCAACAACACCCTATTGGGGATGAGGAGAGTCACGAGCACTCTCACAAGCTGACTGGAGGGTCTCCTGACCGCTACTCCTCCCCAGGACAGAAGCAGAACTCGGTGATTGCTAATCAGCAGTCAGTCCAGCTATCCAGCCTAATGTCCAGTAGTCTGTCTCAAACCTATATCACCCAGCAAGCCCAGTCACAGCCCTCCCATTCCACCTCGGACAAACACT